TGGGGATAGACAGATGGATGGATGGATGGATGGGGATGGATAGATGATGATGATGATGATGGGGTGGATGGGGATAGATAGATAGATGGGTGGATGGGATAGATAGATAGATAGACAGACAGATGGATGGATGGTGGATGGGGATGGATAGATGATGATGATGATGATGATGGGGTGGATGGGGATAGACAGACGGATGGATGGATGGATGGATGGATAGATGATGATTGATGATGATGATGGGGTGGATGGGGATAGATAGATGGATGGATGGATGGATGGGTGGATGGGGATGGATAGATGATGATGATGATGATGATGGGGTGGATGGGGATAGACAGACGGATGGATGGATGGATGGATGGATGGATAGATGATGATTGATGATGATGATGGGGGTGGATGGGGATAGATGGATGGATGGATGGATGGGTGGATGGGGATGGATAGATGATGATGATGATGGGGTGGATGGGGATAGAGAGATGGATGGATGGATGGATAGATGATGATGATGATGATGATGATGGGGTGGATGGGGATGGATAGATAGATAGATAGATGGGGTGGATGGGGATAGAGGGGTGGATGGGGATAGACAGACGGATGGATGGATGGATGGATGGATGGATGGATGATGATGATGGGGTGGATGGGGATGGATAGACAGAGGGGGTGGATGGGGATAGATAGATAGATGGATGGATGGATGGATGGGGATGGATAGATGATGATGATGATGATGATGGGGGTGGATGGGGATAGAGAGCTGGTGGGCGGGGGAGGAGGGGGCTCGGGCGGATCCAGCTACTGAAGGCAGCCGACGCATAGTACGAATTACGTGGCGGTTTCTCTCAGCAGGAGAATCACCATTTCACAGGCTGGTTTTGATTCGGGTTTGAGGCCGGTTTGGAGTCAGAGGCTGGGACTGGCCGGCCGGGGCTGGAGCCCTCGATAATCGCCCGGTTCTGTTCATTGCGGGGCCTGCCACAGACAGGCCATCGGGCTGACGTGGTCTGGCCGACATATGGCCCCGTGCCCCATTCCCTGCCCCCCGAGCCAGCCAATCCCCGCCCTGCGGCCGGGTGGGAGCCGGCGCCCCGCAGAGGGGACAGGTCCCTGCCCCATTCCCCACCCGCCTGAGCCAGCCAGTCCCTGCCCTGTGCCCCATTCCCTGCCCCCTGAGCCAGCCAATCCCCGCCCTGCGGCCAGGTGGGAGCCGGCGCCCCCGGAGGGGACAGGTCCCTGCACCGTTCCCCACCCCCCTGAGCCAGTCCCCGCCCTGCGGCTGGGTGGGAGCCGGCGCCCCCCAGAGGGGACAGGCCCCTGCCCGACTCCAGGCCTGATTTCCCTCTGTCCCGTCTCTTTGCCAGGCTGCCGGGCGCAGGACCTGTGGGTCTCCCAGCCCGTCTCCGTGCAGGGCACCGAGGGCGGCTCCGTCACCCTGCCCTGCTCCTACAACAGCACCCGGGAGCCCCGGCTGGGCAGCTACACCTGGGTGAAGGAGGTGGCGGGCGCCCGGCTGGAGCTGAGCGACGGGACCCAGGAGTTCAGGGGCCGGGTGAGCCGGGCCCAGGACCGGAGCTTCCTGCGGGAGCGGAGAGCCGATGTGGAGCTGCGGGAGCTGAGACCCTATGACACCGGGACCTACCGCTGCCTGGTGAAGATCCCCACCCTGGGCGAGGGGGCGGGGAATGGGACGTGGCTCCAGGTGCTGAAAGCGGGTGAGTCCGGGCAGCCCAGGACTCCTGGGTTCTCTCCCCGGGCCTGGGAGGGGAGTGGGGGCTGGTGGTTAGAACAGGGGGGGCTGGGAGCCAGGACTCCTGGGTTCTCTCCCCGGCTCTGGGAGGGGAGTGGGGGCTGGTGGGTTAGAGCGGGGGAAGGGGGGAGCCTGGACTCCTGGGTTCTCTCCCTGGCTCTGGGAGGGGAGGGGTCTGGTGGGTTATAGCGGGGGGGGGGGAGCCCGGACGTCCTGGGGTTCTCCAGCCCT